CTTCTGCTGCCTTTCACATGGCTGGCATTTCTTCTCTGAGTTTCAGTTTAGATGTCACTTCCAAAGAAAGGCTTTTCTGACTACTCTATCTCAAATGGGCCCCCCTCCCACTTCATTCTCTATCACAGCACCCTACTTCTTTTCTTCTGTTATAAGCTGTATTTTTATCTATTTGTTTACCTGTGTATTATTTATCTCTTATCACAAGAATGTAAGTTAAATGAGAGGACTTGCTAGTTCTAACATCAGGCACAGAATACTCAACAACTATTTCCTTACTGAAGCCATGAATTTAACGGGAACATGGGAGGACAGGAGTAGACAAGAAGCTAATTAACAAGCCAAAAGGTTGAGATGGGTGTGGCCTTGCCCATGCAGTCATTTGGGATAGACTAACCTAACCTGTTATCCCAGACTTGGGGCACCTCTAGCTCATCCTCAGTTTCAATTTTGTCCCCAAGGTGGGCCTGCCAGCCAAGTCAGCTGTGTCAGGAGCCATCCTCCTGGTGGTACCCAATGTCATGGGAATGATGTGTCTGTCACCTCCACTGGACAAGCTGGGGAACAGCCATAGGGGCATCCACTTCTGCCAGGTGAGTTACTTTGCATATAGTACTAAATATTTTCGAATGAGTAAATAAAGCAATTTTTAGCTTCTATTAAGTACAAGGAGTAAGTAAATACTCTCTGGCTTACAATTCTAGAAGTTGGTGTCTCTCTTCAATTTCCACAACTATGACAACCTGAGGCACTGTGCTCGGAAGTTAGACCCACGGCGTGAAGGGGGAGAAGTTAGGGTAAGGAAAACCCCAGGTGGCTTCTAAGAATATTTTAAAATAGAACATTCCATAACACTTCAGCAATACCCTTGGCTAAGCATCCATAGAGGAGGGACACGGGGCAGAGTTGGGCATAGGTGCTTTCAAAGTCAGTTAATCTCAGGTGGGTATGATTTGTTTTCCAGAACAAGACTGTGGTGAATCTGTTATTTGCTGCCTATAGTGGAGATGTCTCTGCTCTTAGAAGGTACTTTTGCTGTGACCAAATAAACACAATAAAATACTCTAGGTCAGAGATCTCATGAGGAGTCAACATAGCAAAATAGTTAAGTGCTTCAGCTTTAGAGTCAGATAAAATGGACATATACTGCATTTAAATGAGTTTTTTAAAGTACAGTGCATGCCATGTGATAAGACCTTAATCAATGACAACCAGTTATGATTAACCTGGGTGTTAAGAGCAGAGTCATAAGAAGTAGGTAGATAAGGACCTTGCCTCAGATGGAGTACCAACATCAGCAAATATATACTGGGCACCTACCATGAGTAAGCAGTGATGTTTCTGGAATCATCACACTCCCATCTCTCTGGAGGAGTAAGTCTCATATGGGTAGAGAACACAGATTGTGCAGGGTTTATAGATCTTGACATAAGCTCTGGACCCATTAAGTCTGACCCCACTTCAGAAAGGACATGAGTGATTCTAGTCCGATCTGGGTCATGCCAGCTGCTTTCCACTACCCTTAGGTTTGCCTTGTCAGCCATGGACATGGAACAGAAAGACTATGACTCCCGCACAGCCCTGCATGTTGCTGCAGCTGAAGGTATCTGAAAGTTAAATAAGAGGGGAAGCAGATCGTAAGACCCTTTTTTTTGCTACCAAGAGTACTCTCCCCTCCCCACCATTGGGTATGCCCTCAAGGTTTCAGGGGCAGCCACTAGTTTTGTCAAGATGCCTTTCAGTTTGCAGGATGACTATTATTGGGTGCTGCAGGGAGCAAAATGGGAAGAGAGTTTTTCCCCTCCCATCATTGTTTAGAACTTAAGCTGCCAAGGGTTTGTACCAATGTTGAAACCAAAAGGTTCAGGATCTGTACCCTCTCATTTTCCTTCTGCCCATATTCCTAGGACACATTGAAGTTGTTAAATTCCTGATTGAGGCTTGCAAAGTGAATCCTTTTGTCAAGGACAGGTGAGTAGGATTAAACGAAAAGGGGGGAATGGGAGGTGGGCAGCAGCTTCACTACTGCCCTCTAACCACCACAGTTATTTATAGAACCAGGGCACTCTTCATGTGTTCCTTGCCTGATCATGGTCTTTGTTCCTCTCAGGTGGGGCAACATTCCCCTGGATGATGCTGTGCAGTTCAATCATCTGGAGGTGGTAAAACTGCTTCAAGACTACCAGGACTCCTACACACCATCTGAGACTCAGGCTGAAGCAGGAGCTGAGGCTCTGTCCAAAGAGAACTTAGAGAGCATGGTGTGAGCATGGAGCACACACGGTTCCTGCCCAAGTAAAAGCACGAGCTAGCCACACATTTAACCCATAACCACCAAACATGCTACAGAGAGCTGCACTGCTTCAGTGGGGACCAAGACTTAGGCCATTGCTTTCTGCAAGAGTCAAAATACCCTATTCCCTTGGCAGACAGTATAGAGAAGTGCCTAGGTGGACAACTGCAGTAGAGCTATCCATGGAGATTGTGTGCTTCTTCAAGGTATAGCCTAATTGCTTGGCCCACTCAAAACTTTCCCATGTCTTTGCCTAGGTCCCCTCTCCCTCTCCCTGAAGAAACCACGAGAGCGATACTTTGGTAAAGAGGCTTTAGCCTCCATGCACATGTATATATCCACAGAGGAAGGAGATGGAGCTATGCACCTGGCTTTAGTTGTCTGACAATATCTACTCCCCTTGGCCAGGAAACAGAAATTTTATAGACAGAGAAAGTATTTTGTGCTCAAATAAACTTTAATTACACAAATGATTATTTTTTGCTAAACTTAGTCCTCTTTCTCCCCTAGGGGCATTCAGTTTCATCACCATCATAAAGGTAGAATAAGATGGAACCTCAGTGTCAGAGCCCAAACAATACATATTTCACATACATACTCACTGACCCATCAAGTCTTCCTCAGCTCTTAATACTGCTTTAGGTTGTGTATTCTGCTGCCAAGGTGGGGGAGGGTCAAGGGCTAGAGTCTGAGCAGGCCCAAAAATGTATTGTGCAAAACCTCAGGTCTCCCTCCTCCCTCTGGAAGTTCCAAATGTAGCAGAAATGAAGATGGAACTTCTCAAGAATAAAGTCGCCAGTACTAATCCCTTCAATATCCTCCAAGTGCCTCTTTCCCGTTGGTCTTCATTAGAACCGGCCCAATGATTATTAAGGATTAACTAGGAGTCAGAAATGTGCAGATTAAGGCAGATGGACTCAGGGTGAGGATAGCTGCAGCTGTGTGGGGCTGAGTCTAGCACTGAGGTGCTGGAGAAGGAGGGCTCTGTTCTCGCTCGACACAGTAAAGCACTTCCTGAGGGAGCCAGAGCCCAGACTCTGTATGTGCTGTAGAGAAAGGGCCAACTCGTTGACTGCACCGCTCCTCCAGCCAGAGGTAGAAAGGATTTACTCTGGAAAGATTCTGTAGAGCCCTAAGAACAAACAAATTACAGGTGGGGAAAGGAGGGAGTGGTATCACAGTGATGAATAAATTTAAAGCTGACAGGGAAAACCCCAGGGCTGATACAATCTGAGAAAGGCCTGGAAACAGGAAGGCAGAAGGACTGAAGGAAGCAAGTCAGGGAAAGTACATTCATGGTAGCCTATGAACATTGGCAGTATTGGCCTTTGGAGCCATGCTTCTCTTGCTCAGGCCAACTTCCATGTCTGGAAGTGTACTTTCCCTTCTAATAAAGCTTTGCTTTTCTGCTGTTAAAAATAAAAGAAAAAAGAAAATTGGCAGTATTTTGGGGGAAGAGAGAGAGTGGCTGTACGCCTAGCTTTCATAGGGTAGGGGAGAGGCAAATGACTAAGGTCTCAACACTGAATTGTGGGAGCTGGAGGTTGCTAGGGGCAAAGTTAGGTTAGACATTTTC